AGGCATCCAGAACCACACTCAAACTCCTGACAGTTTGTGCCAGTGTTAAGGGCCCACCATCAAGAGTAAGTGTTGGCACCCCAACCCTGAATCCCCCCCACCCAACCGCAGAACCTCCATCTTAGTTAGATTCAGTCTCAGTCAGCTCTTTTTCAACCATCCCACCATGGCCTCCAACCCCTTGGCCAGATTTTGTGGAGCAATATCTGGATGCTGGAGAGAAGATTGCCCCCTGAGACAAGCTATAGTGGGGGAGGGTGAGTCAGAAATCTAATAAATAAGGACCGCCTTTCCTCATATGTTCCCCCGCGAGCACTTCGGTCCGGGACCCAACATCTCCTGGCAGTGCCAGGTCCCAAAGAGGCCAGGCTGGCCGCTACCAGGGCCAGGGCTTTCTCGGTGGCGGCTCCTATCTGGTGGAACGAGCTCCCGGAGGAGATCCGGGCCCTGCGGGACCTTGTGCAGTTCCGCAGGGCCTGTAAGACGGAGCTCTTCCACCAGGCGTATGAGTAGGAGCCGCCACTACCATCATCATTATTCCATCTTCACCTGGCCCTGGATGAGGGAACATCAATGCTTCCCTGGAGCAGACGATGCTGAACAGTTCAAATATGCCATCTCTGAAATTTCATGTAGAACATCTAGAGCACTTTAGTCAGTAACTCGTTATGAATGTTTTTGTACTGTTGGATTTTAAATGGTTTTAATTATGTTTTATATTGGCGTTTGCCCCTATGTAAGCCGCCCTGAGCCCGCATTGCGAGGAGGGCGGGGTATAAATTGAATTAAATAAATAAATAAATAAACTAAAGGGACACTTTAGGCTGATCCTGCATTGAGCAGAGGGTCGGGCTAGATGGCCTGTATGTCCCCTTCCAACTCTGTGATTCTACGTACACCACCCTGAGGGAGAAAGTGTGGGATAAAAATATACTAAATACATTTTTAACAGCCATCTGGAAATTTATTCCCATGATGGTTTGGAAAAAATTAATGTCGTACAATACATTTATTATGGCATAAGCTGTCTTGGGCATGAAACCTCAGTTGAAAGGATAGACAAACAGACGGATGATCGGGAGGTGGCAGAGGAAAGAAGGAGATGGGTGGGAGACTGTTCTTTCAAATGGAGAATGTTCTTTCAAATGAAAACCAGAAGCCTAGCAAAGCAAGGGAGAGATATGTCGTATTGGCATGCAGAACACCAATGAAATTGATACCTGGTCAAAAGAGGTAAAGACCTTATCAGTGTAGATATAACCCACACCCAAATGGTGCCGCCTTCCTGGGCATTCTGCAATAGAAAAGGGAACATATTCTAATGAAGACCCTTTCAAATGCAGACTCCAAAGCGGAGTTGCTGATTTGAAATTCATATGCAGATTGAACATTATCAGATATGGGCTCAAGAGAGACTGGAAAGAGCCAGCTCACTACACTAAGTAACTGTCTCTGTGTACATTGTTATCTGCTTTGGCAATGCATCACCGTTTGGGAATCCCTCACCCCCCTTCACACACACACACTCACTCTCTTTTTCATTTGTTCTTTTCAGAGAAAGTGACACACCTCTCTTGCATTGCTGGACCTTCTGGCTACCATTTCCCCCCCAGCCCAGTGCCGGATTTATGCATAAGCTAAATAAGCTACAGCTTAGGGCCTCACAATCTGCTGGAGCCTTATTTGTCATTTTAAAACCCTTTAATTATGTAATTATTTCTGTGATTTTGTAAACACATCCTTTATTTTATTTTAATAAAAATTAAAATATATATATTTTCAAATATTAAAAAGGCGTATATATTTTAAATTTTTCTGAGACCAGCTGATGTAATTTAATACAGTAGGGGGCCTCTGGGTTTTGTATAGCTTAGGGCCTCAGCAAGTCTAAATCCGGCCCTGCCCCAGCCCCTACCTTTCTGCTTGTACTCACATCTATGTATAGCTGTCAACTAAGGACAACACTTTGTGCATCTGATGAAGTGAGCTCTGCCCCATGGAAACTTATGCCACAAGTATTTAAGAAGACACCGGATTTTATTTTCCATACCTTGGTTAAAAAAAAAATACCAGCTTTACATGACAGGTTCAAAAGGTGAGGAAAATACAAAAGAAAGCATGAGGGATGTCTGTTGGCTTCACCCACATATTGGCAGCTGAATTCTCTTGCGGA